GTGTGTGTGTGTGTGTGTGTGTGTGTGTGTGTGTTTAAACTAAATCCAAAATATCTCACCTTATCTGATTACAGTTCTCTTTTTCCAGATCCTGTTTCATATACATTAAAAAAATAAAACTCTAAATTTAGTTTGTTTTAAGTCCAGGGTAGATCATGGAATAATCTGGAAGATGACATTAAAAATGCCAGATCAATGTGTATATTGAAGAAAATGAAAAAGGTTGATTTGCTGAAGAAATATGTATGAAATTTTGTTCAAGGAGTTAAACCTTTGTTATTTCTCTTTTTTCTTTTTTTGTAAACTGAAGATTATTTTTATTGAATTTATTTATTTGAGAAAAGGGGGCAGATGTAAGATTTGTCTTCTTCTTCTGCTACCTTTCATTTAATTTATGATTAGTATTTTTGTTTTTTGTTGAATTTATGTTGTTGTTTTTAAAGAAATGAATAAACTTAACTAATTCTATCAAAAAGAAAAAATAAGTCAGTCCTCTGGATGTGTTCTTCTTAATACTTGTTTTGCCATGTTTCAAGTTTTTTATATTTGTACTCCATATTTAGAACAAGTATTCTGCTTTATTTTCAGATATTTTATTTGTCAAAAAGTTAATGTGTACCATTTCTGTTTATATGGGCAAGAAAATAACTATCTAAAAATTATCCACAGGGACTCATTATTTATGTACTTATTATTATTATGAAATTTATAGCAATGCATTTAAAGCAATATTGAATCAAATCGAATTGGGAATTTAACAATACCCAGTTTTATCCCCACTAACAGAAGTCATGACATTATTGTTTCTGCATTTAAACATCTAATTCTAATAAAGTTCACCCCATTGTATCTTTATAAAATTCTCTAAATGCTGATTTATAATTCAAACTTGTTTCATTTTTAAAGTATTGACAGAGTATTTCTGGCTGAATTGTTTTTATTTGGTGCTTTTAGGTACAGAGACGTATTCAGGAGGAGCTGGACACTAAGATTGGGGTGGACCGGTCCCCTCTTCTCAGTGACAGAGGAAGTCTTCCCTACCTGGAGGCCACCATTAGGGAGGTGTTACGGATCCGTCCTGTAGCTCCTTTGTTTATCCCTCATGTGGCTCTCAGTGACACCAGGTGGGGGCATTTAACCCAGCCAACATTAAATCAGATGGAGCTGTGTTTCTGTAAACACTTCTCTCTGCTCTTTCTGTAGTATTGGAGATTTCAAAGTGAGGAAGGGAACTCGAGTCATCATCAACCTGTGGTCACTGCACCACGATGAAGAGGAATGGGACAAGCCTGAGCTTTTTGACCCAGGTGAGACGTTGAAAACATTGACTTTTAAACAACAAAACAGGAAAAAATAATGTATAGTGTAACTCTGTGTTTGTAAAACTTACTGAGTCATTAGCTGTGTCCAAACTCAGGGGCTGCATCCTTCAGTGGCCGAATTTGAAGGCTAATTACATAACAGCGGTGCCTGTCCAAATTCAAAGGCTCCTTCAGTTGCGGCTCAAAAATGCATCTTAATTTTCCCCCAGTTTGAGAGATGGGTCTGGTGTATTCTTCTCACAGTGGCGGAGCCAGACATTTTTCTCAGGGGTGGCCAGACTGAGACCACTACTCACACAGGGGAGGCCAGGAAAATTACATAATTTTTTATTTGAATTTTTCTGCTCATATTTGTGTTTTGGTCATTTCCTTATGTCCTTATACAGGCAGTGACTACCTTTACAACACGGGTGTCACTCAGAACCATTTTAAAAGTGGCGGGACAGCCTGTTGGGGGTCTGGGGGTCCTCCCTCAGAAAGTTTTGAATGAAATAGATGCCCTTTCCAGCATTCTGGTGTATTTTACCAGGTTGTTAAACATACTTTGACCTCCATGAAAAAACACTTGATTTAATAATGATTTCAGAGAACATATTATTCATTAAATTAGTTCCATCATCCTGTTTTTAAACTCACAGATGAAGCTGAGATAAGGTTAATTAATGTGGCACAATTTATCATATCCAATGACTTTAGGGGTGCTTTTTACTTTTATATTGTTTATTGACTTATTTTTAATTGTAACATGCCATTGTGCCAAATAATGATGACCCTCAACTGCATGTATAAAACTAATATTATAACATTTACCCAATGAATTTAGTGAATTTAGAGGGGGGTTTCACGTTTTTCTGATTTAGCGATAGGCCTACTCATAGCCAAACACAGAGCATCGTGCAGCCTTCAGAACATAAAATGACACGGTGTTATGGTGACAAAAGAATAAAACATTTGGCACCATGAGTCCAAAAGTTGACACCATAAGTCAGATTACATAAGTATATGTTCTGTATATGAAGAAAACCACCACTTCCTTGTCATTACTCTTCTTCAGTGATAGAGCTTGGTGATGTTTCAAACTGTTTAACACTGCCACCAACTGTTCAGGAGGATTATTACACCCCTAAAGGTTGCACTGTGTAAGAGGTGTGTACAGCAGGTGGCCAATGGGGAGGCCAAAGATTTGTCTGTGGTGGCCATGGCCACCCCTGGCCACCCCCTGGCTCCACCCCTGCCTTCTCAGCCTACCCCATGTGCTGATGCATTAAGTTATTTTGCTCGTAATGGTGGACAAATTAAGTGATGAAGTGAGAGACAGTATGGCGAATCCGGGGTACTTAGGAGAACGCAGCCCCTAAATTTGGACAGAGCCAGTCACTTTTTGTGTTTGCTAAGGTCTGTTAGCTGTGGTGGCCATCTTGAATCAGTTTGCCCCTCAGAAGTTATTCAGTAATAAATTCAAAAATGGCTTACTGGGATATTTAATAAAAATACAATTTTGACAATAAAAGTGATGATTGCTACAGAGCGGCAACAATGAACCATTTTTTTTTAGTAAATTAGTTCAAATGTGTATGAAAGTGCTGTATCAGCACTAAGCAATCCTTCTGTTTTCACTCCTCAGGTCGGTTTTTGAACAGCGAAGGCACAGGTCTGACCGTCCCGTCGGCCAGCTACCTGCCGTTCGGCGCTGGGATTCGGGTGTGTTTGGGTGAGGCTTTGGCCAAAATGGAGCTGTTCCTCTTCCTGTCCTGGATTCTACAGCGATTTACTCTCTCCGTCCCACCAAACCACCCTCTTCCCAGTCTGGAGGGCAAGTTTGGTGTGGTCCTGCAGCCAGTCAAGTACAAGGTGAAGGCCACACCCAGACCAGGCTGGGACCGACCCAAAGACCAGGCGTGTTGAGAGGGGGTCCAATCCACACTGTGGCTCTCGTGTGGGGGGCATCGTCACTGTCAGGCAAATATAACAAGCATTGGACATAAAATATTTGTTTAACTGTATTTATTATTTATTTGCACAGTTGCAGAACATGTTTTAAAAAAGTCCAACCTACATTCTGACATGCATCAGTTCAATGAGTCATTTTAATTTAATTTCTATCATGGGAAAAAGAGTCTACAATTTTTCCTTTCTAATATTTTATTTTAGCCTGGTAAAACCAGCCCAATGTTCTTCACTTTGCTTCAGAGGGTCTGGACTCTCAGCTGTTGAGAAACCCTTTCTTGCTGGAGGCGTGGCCTCTGAAGTACTGAGCCAAACAAAGTGGCTGTAAATGAGTGCTAAACTACAGGCAGACTAAAACGGCACAGAAAATTGATGTTGTCGTTCACAACTCCTCCTCCTGTTTGCTGATTGTTGAAAATCTACCAGAGAAATCCAAGTCAATGAGAGAAAGCCCAGGCGGAGCAGAGAAGGGAGATTAGAATCGATCAGAATTGCACAAGAAGGCAATGGCCAGGCTATTGGGCATAAGAAAAAACAATAATCTGGGTTTATCAAGTTATAAAACTATTTTAATCTAATCTTAAGTAAACAAAAACAGATTCCACCGTGTCATTATTTATTAAACAAAAAAAGTCAAAAATGGTTGTGTATGTACACCCCATTACACAACAGCTTGTAGAACCTCTTCAGACTTTGTTTTCCTTTAATCGATGGGTTGCCAGTTCAGTCCCCCATCTTTAGGCAAGAGATTTCACCATCTTGCCTGCTGGTGCTGCTCAGAGGGTCCAGTACTGTTGGTACATGGCAGCCCTGCTTCTGTCAGTGTGCCCCTCAACAGCTGTGGCTACAGTGTAGCTTAGCACCAGTGTATGAATGAGTAGTGCTCTGGAGTCCACAGGGACTTGATAAAGCCTTATACAGGCCATTTACCATGTTGTTGTGGAGAAATGTTGGCCCATTATATTTTACAAGGTAGCTTCAGTTCACTGAGGTGTTCATTAAGGTGCACACCACAGCATCTGAAACAGGTTCAGGTTCTGCATCTTAATGCAAAACTTTGATTTTTTTTCCCCAGTCATTTAGTTGTAGATTTGCTGCTGTGTTTGGGATCTGTTTCATGATGCAGTCTGGTCCAAGCTTCAGCTTTCAGACAAACGGTCTCAACTTTGACTCTAGAATCCTTTGGTCTACGGAGGAGTTCATGGTCGACTCAGTGACTACAAGGTGCTCAGATCCTGTGGCTACAAATCACCCTTCCCCCACTGTGCCTTAGCTATATGAGGTGTTTGGGCTGATATGTTGTTTATGCTGTGTATCCTGGGTAAACATATCTACTTTGTTCTGCTAACTAATGCCAGAGTGACTGAGATTGAGGGATTTTATTGTGTGACCATTGGAGTGATTTTGCTGGTCCATTATTTATGGGCAGTTCAGCAGCTGTCTTAAATGTTTTTTCTTTCTCACTATAAAATGACAAAAAATATATTTTGCTGATGTTTATTTGTTCAAGAGTATTACATTATCAGCATGAAATGGAATAAAGAAAGATGCTCTTTTTCCCATGACTGTATGACACGTGTCAAACTCAAGGCGCACGGGCCAAATCTGGCCCTTGTTAACATTTTGTCTGGCCCCAAAAGTAACACTTTCAAATGCAAAATAGTTTTATGGTTTGTCTCATTGTCACTGGATTTAGTGCATTTTTCTCATTACGACTTTCATACAAAGAAATTTAAGTTAGAATTTTTCAGTCATCTTTAATTTTGGTGCAGAAAGAGAATCAGTTCTCTTCTCATTTTAAAGTCTCATGTTTGGAATTTTTCCTTTTTTAACTTAATTTGCTGGATTGTGATAACATTTATCTTTGACATTTATTTCATAAATATTGACAGAAATTGGCCCTTAGCTTGGACCAACAGGTTTTGACTTGGGTCCAAGTCTTCATGTCTTTTAGATAAAACCATATTAGTAACATTAGACGTATACCAGTGTTCCCACAGGTGATGTTATCTGAAAGCATGAAGCAAAAATACCTGGTACTGGTATAACCTGAGATGTTAAAAAGTATATACTGTATATACATACAGTATATATACATATACTGTAAATATATTTATACACACACACATATATACG